CTCTCTCTCTCTCTCTCTCTCTCTCTCTCTCTCTCTCTCTCTCTCTCTCTCTCTCTCTCTCTCTCTCTCTCTCTCTCTCTCTTGTCTCAAGAATATCAGAGCGCAAAAGCGAAAAAAAGAAAAAGAAAGAAAGAAAAACAAAAAAATGAATATATATCGTCACATATACACACGCACACACCTGATGAGTAGGTGAAAATGCGATGAAACAGCATGGCACACTCGTGCTTTTTTGTGTGGAGTTAGTGTATAGCGCACATGACAACACACACACACACACACACACACACACACACACACACACACATGTAGAAGCACCCACCGCTGGATCTGTTATCTTAGCGGGAATTCTCTTAAAATTGGGAACTTATGTTTTTTTTAAGTAAATTATCATATTACCATATAATAATTAGAATATCATTATTTGATGAATTATAGAATAAGAATTTATAATTATTTCTTCTATAAAATAAAAGAATAACAAAAATAGTAATTAAAGAAAATACGAGAAGATTCCAAAATTGAACTGAAATTTAAGTATATAAAATATCAAATTGATTTTTTTTTACTTCGTGTCCTGAGGTTGCATGGAAGTCCACGGGGGAAACTGGTCACTTGATCCAGTGAAACCCCGCCAAATAGGTAAGAGAACTCAAAGCAAGTAGAGTTAGTGAGCCGTGTAAAGGGCAACTATTTCGCACGGTTCGGAGGGCACTTCAGTAAGTCTAAGGAGTCAGAGAAATTTGAAAAACACTGTTCCGGAGCGAGGATGGACGAAACTCTTCCACAGACATGCCAAGCGCACATGACAACAAACCCCGATGGAGATACACAGACGAGATGCTCAGCATGTGCCCTGCGCAAGGAAGACACCAACAAATCGAGAAAAATAAATACAATTAGAGGAACACACACAACCTGCAAGATCTGCAGGCAACTCCGATGCAATGGCTTGGCATGACTGCAATCACGGTCAGAGTCGTTAAAAAAAAACAGCCCTCGTGTGAGTATGCCCCCATACTTTCGGCTTGGGCGTGGTACAGCTCTCGTCCTCGAGCAAATCAACACACAAAACAGCTTGCCCCATCACTGCCCCCTCCCAGACCCCGGAGGTCACTAAGCATCAGCAGCATAGGCTCAAATCTGCAGGTACTGGTAGGTCGAGCAGATCGGTTATTCAACAGTTTATATGAGCCTAAGTTCTTTTTCTTGCTCTTCAACAGTTTATATGACCCTAAGTTATTTTTCTTACTCACCTGATTCCTTCGGGATTCGAACTCATGATCTGTCCACGGCCACGTCGTTACTTTTGTATGCCATGCAGCCACGTGCACGAGGTCAAAAGGCCACGTCGTTATTTTTGTATGCCATGCAGCCACGTGCACGAGGTCAA